CAATTTGGTTTTTTTTTCAATTCAATGGTAATCTTAATAATAACTGAAACAATTCTTCAAATATGTTCCTTTTGAATAGTTTTTAATGTATTTAAAAAATTTAATATAAAACATTTCAGCCTTTGGCAGAAATGCTTTTTGTCTGTTATACCTGAATAAATAAATATATAATAGAAAGCTGTGTTGTTGTATTAGGTGTATTTTGAAATTAAGCTTAAGATATATACTGTATATATATGTAGACAACTTTCATATCTCATTTTTTATTTATTTTTTTTATTGAAGTAATGGTTCTTCTTTTGTATTTATGTTATTTATGTTATATTGATTTTGTATCTGAAATAAAAATGAATGAATGAATCATCACATAAGTAGTGTCATTTAAGATATGGTTTACCTTTAGCCTTAAAGAAAAATTTAAAGAAAAATTATAGAGGTTTGGTTTCCATCAAATTGTTACATGCCATCACGGACAGATTTTTTGTGTTGCTGATTAGTCCGTTGAATTTGAGAGCCTTCTGAATTGAATCAGAGATAGCTCTGCAGTGTAACAATTGCTGTAAAAACACTAAAGCGACATAGTAGCGATTTTATGAAAACCAGGCTGTAATAGCTATGATTATATTAATATCAGGGACAAACAACATTTCCCCTATTTGGATGAGTGATACAAAAGTGGGAAATCACATTTATCAATGACTACTACCGGTATAACATATAGCAGCACTTCAGTATGCCACTTCAGTTTAGCACTTCTATTCTACAACAACTTTATGTAATCTATTTTAATTTCCATGTGTACATATATGTAGCTAATAAAAGCACAGTTTCAATTTTCCCTAATATTTGTTGTGTGTTTGTTGTGTGTTTATGACTGAGTCATCCTAAAATCCCAAACTCCATTAATATTTCTATTTATGGAATTGGGCTCATTGTTAGTAATCACTTAATTAAAAAATTTTTTTAAAGAATTTTTTGAATTTTTGAATTTGATTTATGATATGTTGAACAACTGGCCAATCAGAACAAGGGCCAGGAAGCTGCGCTTGTCCTGTAAACATGTGTGTTATTCCACAAATGTTTATGTGAGATTACAATGTTGCTTTGGGGTGGGGCTTAGCAGTGGCATATCTAGAAGTCTTGAAGTGGGGTTGCTGATGGGGCAATGAGGTGAAATGGGGGAGCTCAATGATCAGTTGAGGGGGTGCAAACTTGCAAAATAAGGTGATTTTAGGTCAGGGACGTAGCCAGGATTTTGAAAGGGGAGGGGGGAGCCGTTATACGAATTACGTATGACCCCGGCGGGGGTCAAGGGGCGAATCCTCCTGTGAAGTAGCGCACTCTGAATGTTTTTAGGATTATTTGATAGGATAAAGTGAAAATTGCAATAGACGCATTATAAATAAGCGCAAAAATAATTATATAATAAATCAACAGTGGCAAATCCAGGAATTCGAAAGAGAGCGACACCCACCTCAGCCCCTCAATGGTTGGAGCTGAGGTGAGAAAATAGTACCTCTAGATGGCCAGAAATGACACTTTTAGTAAAATTCATCATCATCACATCACCATTAGTCAAAATCAAGCACCAAAAAAAAAATTCTCATGATCTTTTATCAAGGATTTTTGATAACCATAGAGATCTTATTAATGTGTGTGTGTATACCATAGAAAACAAAGCTTAAAAA